ATGTTCTACAATTGACATAAAGGGCAAACGATAGCGCGCTATCTTAGGTAAAACTCGAATTTCTTTTTGGGATTCAAACCATAAATCGGTTTCACACTGTCCCGGACGATTGCGGCGACGCGTAATCATTTTATGTTTAAGAAAATGTAAAATACTAATCCATACTTGCATTTCTTTGGGTACAGCATCAAAGTAAACTAGTAACTCAATGACGGCTAAATACAATTCATAGAAATATATATGGATCTGTTGAATAGAGAAACGAAGCAATACAATAAACAATAGCAGAGCGAGAAAGGAAACGTACTTCTTTTATAAACAGCTTTAATTCTGAAGTCAATAAATCGGTATTTTTGACTTTTTTAATATAAGGTTGACACTGAGTTCGTATTTGCTCAACATTGCTCAGCATTACTAATTCTTCATCGCCGAAAATGTCTGTTTTTATTTCGTATTGCATTTCCTGGCTTTGTAGAATGCTGATGATCTAAACATTGATCCTATTGTTTATTTGATTCACTCATATTTCCCAACTCAAATTTCATACCTGTGTAACTAGCAGTTTTTGATAGTCCAAATTGAAATCACGGCTCACCCGTTCCAATAATTGAACGTCTACTTGTTTATTATGGACTTCTTTCAAAAGCATTTCTATGGAGTCTATTTCAGCATTAAATTTGTGGTTGAGAGTGGAATCCTGTTTGCAAAATTCCATATAATAATAGTGTTTAATACGTCTAGGGAAAATGAAGATGAGATAAAAAATTAACATTTTTATTTTATTAAATTTTAACTCACTTGCTGCGCATGACTTCCGCTTGAATTAATTCTCCGAAACGGGTATTATACATTTCCGCTAAAGTAAGATAATTAACTTTTTGTTGATTAGTTCTCACCTCTTGAGATAATTTTTCCAACAACATATGCGAATGGGGATCAGCGGTAAGCATAACGAATAAATCTTGAAGAAAATAAATTAAAAGTGAATCAAAAATTATTCAAAACCTTAAGAACAGTCTTATATATGATACCAGTACCAACCAATCGCACACTTTAAGTAGGACTTCACAAGCCATGCCATCGTTAAAAAATAATCTTAACATGCATTCTGTTGCTTACTCCTATTTCTAATATCTTTTCAATATTTGACCGATTATACAAATAAATATTTTTTGGATAGCGCATTTAAATAGAGGAAATAAGACACAAATTAGTATGCAAAACCTAGTCGTTCTTCAATTTTGTATTATCATTCGTTTAGCTAAATGATCGTCATTTGATATTAGACACTTCATTTTGTAGCAGGGACAGTTGCTGATTTTACACTTACAACTGAGGTTATCTTTCGAAAGATCTCTTTTCCCCTTACAAATGTATCTGTCATCAAATTGCTATAGTAACAGAAGGACTTTCTACATTAGTTTGTTTGTAGGGTTTGGACTATAGAACACATTTTTATTTATGGTCTTTTTATTTTGATAGTTGATAAAGAAAACCGACACGAAAAATGTGTTCAAAAATATATTAAGCTCGTTTTTAAATCTTTGCGGAAAATCGGTGTTTCTTGTTTCTTGGTGAACCAAAGTTGTTTTGAGCTCCCATTGTAACAGCAGGATTAAGCATTAATGCGGAAAAAGTAAGAAAATTAAGAAAGGAACTTAACTAAGAAAATTAAATAATAACACTGAAACAATCGCCAAAGTAGGGTACATTTGCATTGGAATGTTTTGACGCGGACTGCAAATGCAAAAGTCACGAACATTTTCTGCAAAATTGCAGAAGATAGTTCATAAAAACCCTTAGAAAATATAACCTTAAATGTGAAACTACCACTTGGACGATTCGGATAATTTCAACCAATCATAAGAGACATTTGAACCGAGCATTGGATATGTAGCTTTCATAGGCTGTCTATTTTTCGTCCGCTGTAACGTTTTTTTAGTGCTTTTGTTGTCTGAGTCGAGACTTAGAACCCAACGGTGGTTTTTTTCTGAAGCGGTACCCATTCTTATTTGGGTTATGATTGTTTAAGGTTGCATTATTCCCACTTCCCATAAGAAAGAGTTATTGCTTGCTTTTTTCAAAAACTAGGATGTCTTATTCCACAAACAGACAGATTTAGAATATCATACTTATTTGGAATACGTTAGTTTTAAAAATAATAATATTTTCCGTTTAGGTCTTTAACATAATTACCTAAAAAATTGCAATTTTTAGTGGTCATATCATTTCTTAGAACGCGAGTCATTTGCATTGACAAAAAATCAGTATTAATTAAATTACATCGGTGGCGCTGCTGGTAGTTAATCAAATACTGCGCCATTGTATACCAAACTCTATGTTTTTTGGTTTTAATTAAATGCTCTAATGATAAAAAAAAACTCTCTCGGGCATGATCAATGTCCATTTTAATTTTATCTTCTTCGGTTAATAAGTTCTTTAAATGCAATATTAGGTGATTAGTAGAAGGAGCTTTCAGCACGAGGAATAATAAAGTATGAGCTACGAACTTTACTATGTGACAGTGATCACGATGATCGGCTAAAGATTTGCTTGCGGGCTGAGGGGTTTCTTCGAATTTATCGAATATCGATACCGAGACACGTTTTTTCAGTTTTTCAATTTCTGGTTTTAAATCAAACGACATATTCATATTATTGGTTTGATTCAGCGTGGTTTCGTAAACTAGTCCTTTCGGGGTATTTAAAGCCAAGAATATCGCGTTCATAACATCTTTTTCTCGTTCATTATACAACTCATCGATAGCATTGTGAGCGTAATTATCTCTGGCAATGCGTAAATAGTTTATTAGTTCCGTTAATTCAAATAAATTATTTCTTTCTTGAAATGAGGCTTGAGTCAATAGTTCATAAGCTAAAGGAAAAGCTAAAGGATCGACATCGTTAAGCAGCGGAGCTGAAGTATTTCTGGAGGCACTTTCTGTTAAATTGATTTGTTGCTTTAGTAATACTAAAGCCAAATCAATGTAATCATCTTTATTAATCTTCTCACCATCCGTTAATTGCATAACATTGTAGGCCAAAGCGCAAGACATCACCAAACAATTTGTACGACAACATAATTGCTTAATACCTGCCACGATAGACATGTTCAAGGCTTTTGATAATTGTTGCATTTCCATCATAAAATATTTACATATATCCTCTATTTCTGTTTTACGTTTGATGATATTTTCAATGCCCATGTCCAAAAACTTTGAGCAATTATTACTATTCATTACTTCACTAACGTCGTTAGTTTTTATACCATACTTGCAAAGTAAAATATATCTATTTTGTACAAATTCGTAACGTTTTGGGACTGTACGGTCCGCGTGTTTGGCGATTAGTTTGAAAAATTTTATTAATTCACATTGCTCTTCGAGAGACTTATCATCAGTAAGAACGAAAGTGGAGCTTTCAAGCAAATTCTGAAAATAAGAAAAGTTATTTCGGAAGTATTTGGCGAATATTGTGTAGAATGTAGAAAAACTATTTTTCTTTTGGTATAAAATTGCTCTGGAAAAAATACTATAATTACATTATATTACAAAGAAAATAGATATATCCTCTACTTACCGCAAACAATTCCACCATTTCACAATTACACTTAGAATCATTGTTAAACTTCAAGCTTTTGAAAAACTCATACGCCACATCTAATTTACCGTTTTTAACTAATTGATAACAGCAATTAAAGTTGGCGCTAACAGCAATCTCCGGTGCAACTCTAGTTAGAATACATATATCATCCAACATATCGGGTAAATTCATTTTAACGATGCGAAACGCAAACAAGTTCAAATTAACATCTGCTCCGCTATCAGTAGGCCAACCATACTTTGCTTTCATTAACTTAATAACTTGTAATTCATATTCAGTGTTGATCTTTGAAGCCAACGGATGACTAGAATATCGAAATTTAAGGAGCGGTGCTACAACGTCGGGCCAAGGGACGGGAGAGTTCTTAAACAAACTTTTGAGTAATATTAAAAGCGGAAAAACTTAAAAAAAGTATTACCTGTAGTATTAATAAGGCCAACTCTAAGCGATCATCTTCATTGTGCAAAAGTTCTATGCAAGCTACAGATCTCTCTAACCAACAGCTAAAAGAGTTCCTGCTAGCTACAAGTAAAGAGATGTAACACTTAATGGCCGTAACTGGCGACTGGCTCTTCTCTTGATATATAGGATAAAGGAAGTCATTGATTAAACTTTTTAAATTATCTAAGTGGACCCTTCGGAGAATACATTTAGCGGTTTCGTCTAAGCGATCCTAAAAATATTTGAAATATGTTAGTTCATTTTAATTGAGTTTATGAAAGATGTATGTAAACGAAAGCACACAGTTTTACATGCAATGAAATGATGTAGTGAAAAAAGTGCATTTTTGGCTGACAACCATCGAGTTACAGTAAATTTAAAAGGGTACACATTCCATGTGACTGATTTCCAAAATTTGGACATTAAGCACAGAAAGTTAGTATCAAGCTCCAACTCATCATCCAAATTTTTGCGTATAAAAAAAAGTAAAAAGTCCGTAGGACAGAAAATTGACAACATGTCAGTGCGCGGCACACTTCGTTTAGGGTAAAAAAAATAATGCTTCTGTTTAATTTAACAAACGACCTGACTTACTTGCAAATAATTGTCCAAAGTGAACACCAAATTGTACGTTTTCTTTAATACAAATAAGTCCTGTAAAGCATTAACCAATTCTCTTAGTTTGTTAATATTTCTTTCGTGCTGACGCCTTACATCCCTAAAATAGGTTTGGATAATATACGGGATGCATTTCTGTGACCATTTCAATTACTTACGAATGCATAAATTCTATTTCCTCGAAGACTTCCATTACTTTTGTGCAAAATTCTAAGCCAATATCTGGCCAGTGATCGGAATATTGCAATGCTCGAGTCTTCTGCGTACTCCACTCCGTTATATAAGGCACTACATTTGGATGGGTGTTATATACAATTGGTACAAATACTTTTAACCATTGCAAGAAATTAAAAGGTTTAGTGTCGTGTGGTATTAAACTCATAAGTTTACGCAGTTCATGTTTATTAAGCTGTGACATGAGAGAGCTGGCGTGACGTTTCCATATCAAACATGCTAAAGGCATATCCGTCTTAAACAACCCAGTTATATATTTAATAAGATTCGGATGATGTACAAATTTCAACCAGTCGCTATTAACTTCATAAGGATCAATAATAACCAGGGTTTTTAAACGATGCAATTGTTCAATAATTTCTACAATATATTGTTCATCCAGCTAGAAAAAATTAGAAAAGTTTTAGTAAATACATAAGGTTTTCGATTAGCACTGCACAACTTTACGTAGAGTTTTTCAAGCGCGCATTTTCTGATTTTCATCATTTCACTTTCTAGCCTTTTACCTTTTTTACCTTTTCGAAACCACATGTGATGTTGTCCACTAACGTACAAAAAACAAAAGGACAGAAAGTAAGTGGCACGGAACGCTGAACTTCCACTTTATAATTATTGTAGTCATTGCTTAAGCATTATTAAAAGGACTTGAGATAGACCCCTCTTTTCTTATTTGGAGCGATTCGGAATGACATTCTGAATCGATATCTGTCCATCCGGTATTTTTGTGTATAGCCAACAATTTTTGATATTTTGATGAAATCGGGTATATCGACGCGTTTTGGGGAGAGGACGAATGCGATTTAAAATGAATCAAAGCGATTGGCTTTCTCGATCGCTTCGCAAACAACGTTTTTTGAAAAGTCATTGTATGCGTAACGGTTTAAAGCGAAGCTGTGTAGGGTATTTAGCGGTAAGCGTACAAATAGTATATATAATTTGGATATATGCTTTCACTTCCTTTTAAAATAATTATTGTTAACGTACATATTGTTTGCAGATGTTATTAAACTTAAGAATTAGTATATTAGCAGTATTGCTTTACAATAAAATATCATTTGCATGTTAGCATCCAAGAGCTTTAATTTCGCTGTTATTATTTTGTAGTGGGGTCTGGGCGAAATTATTTTGGCAGTTATACGTGACTTTGACGGAAATAGTCGAACAGCGTAGAACATTAATTTACAAAGATATTCATCTGACATGAAACATTCATAGAATCCTCTACCCTTTATTTGCATAAAATGGATACCCAACACCATACTCTAATTTGACCTGAAAATACGCGGTCACCATTTGGCATTAATTGTGGTTGAAATTACTTTTTAAGTAAGGGATGCAAAAATTAAACGATTAAACCAAGAATGGCTTAGACTGGCGTGAAAGATTTTGCTGTGAAAATTAACATTTTTCTAGAAGCAGTTTAAGACTGAATTTAAATTACGAATCTTAATTATTTCTTAGATCAAAGTTGCTAATGATTCGAATTATTATATGTTGGAGCTATTTGACAACAACCACTGTTGTGAACAGAAAAGAACTAAAGCCAGGCCCTTTCCATTTTTAACTTAAAAATAAATAACTTAGTGTTGTCCTATTTTTACCTCATTGTCCAAGTATTTAAGGATTTCTTGTAAATATTTTTCTAAAATATGACGAGAAGGCAGACTGAACATACGTGCTTCGCGAAAGAATTGTTTGTCTTCGATCTTTTTGAACAGCATAATCAAGGTAGAAAATTGTTCCTCTATAACTTCAGGATTACTCTGCAAGGAGAAAAAGATTTTTATGAATAGCATAAAGAATGAAAATAGGCAAGTGATAGCTTACAACATCCATGGCATTTATTGTTCTCAATAGACGCTTAGCAGTGGCTTCATAAATTGGTTGCAAACACAGCTCGAATTTTTTGCCGAAGTCCTTAAAAGAGAATAGTCAATTGTTTCAGTTCCGCTGTTTTTTTATTCTATTTTGGACTTGACAGTTAAACCTACTTCAGCTTCTTCTAAATAGCCTTTATTTATGAGTTTTTTATATCTTTCACTTGGATCAGTTTCTGACACCATAATTAATTCTAAAATAGTTGGGTGCTGCTTGCTATTGTTTTCCTGCCCGCTTATATAATAAAGATTTACCGAAGACTTGGGCTGCTGCACTAGCCAAACATAACCTCCGACTTCTAATTCATTTAAACATTTAAATGCTAAAAAGTGTATGTATATATAAATATATACAAGTTATACATATAGTCATATAGAAGTTAACTTACAGGGATAATCAATCATTTTTATAGAGCGCGATTTTTCATTACTTTTGGTAAGTATTAGAAATTCGATGTTTCTGCCATTGCATTCCATAACTATAAGGTCATCTATTAATAAATGAGTATCTTGCTCATTTGCTAACTTTAACAATTGACTCAAAGGACAATATTTAAGCAAATGACCAGAATTCGTTAAAAGGATGCTATAATTAACACATAATAAATATACAAAGATATTCTTTAGGAATACTTTCTTACATCTTATTTTCCAGATTGTATACATGTTTGACGCCATTATATTCTTCTGGTAAAAGTAGGAGTACACATCCTTCTTGACAGTTCCGCTGATAAAACGCGCCACAGGTCCCTGCTAAAAGTAGAGGAGCTTCTTCTATGCCTTGGGAAAGAAGCAAAGAAGTCTTTATTTCCTGTAGTCCTTTTATGGAAAACAAACGGCTTAACGTAACATGGTTTAAAATATCTACGGTAACATTTTCGACTTCTGATTCAGGGATATTTGAATGTAAAGTTGCTTCGAGAGCCTCCTCATCGAATTCCGAAAAACTTTAAAATTAGGAAGATTTTTTTAATGATTTCAAAGCGTTTATAAAAATTTATCAAAAAAATCCCTTTCATTTTACCCGTAAACACTGCCATTTGAACAAACCAAACAATATCTCCTATCTAATTGTTGCAGGCTGACAAACGATCGGCCTCCTGTCACATTAATATCTTCCTTTTGTATGCAAGGACTAAACAGCACCTGGCCACTTATAGAAAGGCCATGAACTTCTCCATTACTAAGGCTACACAAGATTAAATTACCGGTGGCCGAAATGAGCAACAAATCGATGTTTGACTCGAAAGTTATAATGTTGCATTTGCCAGTTGTTTCATCCTCTAACAGAAATAATGTGGTGTCAATTGCCAAAACCATTTTCCGATTTTGAACGCTGGCTTGAACTTGAGGAGAAATCTGTACCTGTAAACGAAAATTAATGGAATTTACAAAATTGCACTCATATTTTCTTTATCTATCACCTCTTTATCGCTGGTAATACGGTAAATGCCACGCGAAGAGAAAGCGTTCGATATGGTTTCATCTTCGAAGGGTGAATCTTCAAAATTAATCCACATCTTGTTTGTACTCAATTTACAAAGTGATGCACCGTGTACGCGCTAAACCAATAAACAAAATCTTTTAAATGGTTTATCTTCTTCTTCTAAGAATTCGACGAATAAACGAGAGATACCTTTATTGTTTATAGCGACAGCACTGCCAGCATAGCAAAGCAATATTTTCCAAGTAAATTCAGGGAGACATTCCAGAGATAGAGAAACAACAACATAAGCCAATATTTTGTTCAAATAAAAGCAAACTGCTAAGACGACAAATTATTTTCTCTCCCTTAGGGGAGAGGGGATTCTATTAGAGTCTGAAGCTGCAAACTCGAAATAGTTGTAAGTTCTTTCACGCCATGACGTGAGCAATGGTTCACTACAAAAACAAATATTTTCCAAATATAAATTGTTTTCGTTTCATCGTTTATTTCGTATTGAAAAATTCGAAATTATATTTTCGCCAAACACTTTGCAAAACGCTTTCTTACTAATAACAAATCCGTCCGCATACCTTTTTACCCACAGTACGAAATATCCCTCGCCCCTAACCAATTAAATTCTAAAAGCAGTTGGTCAGTTTGTCCGATCGTGCGCTAAATTACATGTGAAAGTACAGGTACCTCTCATTTCTTTAGCATAATTTCGTGATTAACAAATAAAAGAAGAAAAGATTCATCGGAAAGAGATATTGAATGTGCGAAGATATTTTGAAAAAAGAATTTTAATTCGATTTTTAAAATATGAAATAATATATGCAATATCGAATGAATAATTTTGTTGCTAACGAATCATAGGATTAAAAATAATACAAAGACTCTCAGCGCTTTTCACCTCTTTAATGTTATACCGACTGTCCCCTGCAATTGTTTTGAAAGATACTCTTGTATAAAAGGCATTTAATTTCAAATTAATTTGAGATTCCAAACGAATTCAACAGAGTCAACAGAGTCTTCTGTTTTTTCAAGTGAATTTATTAGCCCTTAACTTGAGTATGATCTCTTCAGATATTTTAGGCAGTTGTTAGACGTTATTGCGACTTAAAAAAAAAATTTCATTGCAAGTTTGAACGTGATATGTGAAAATTTGTCTCCATTTAATTTTAACATTCCATTTGCTCACGCAAAACAAAACTAATTTGAGATACGTTTGCACGAAATATTCACGGGATCTCTGGACGAAAATAGACATTTTCTTTGTCGTCTGTGATAATGCAAATAAGGATAACTCGACCCAAATTCGGTTGCTACAACTGTTACTTTATTATGCAAATGCCCATAAAATGAAAAATAGAGAGCAATAAATTTTTGTATAAGAAATTAAAGTTTTTGAAGTTATTTTATTTATTTTATTTATTTATTCCACTTATACAAGAAACTCAACTAAAACAAAATGGCAGTCGAGTTCAATTGACTCTTAATGAAATCTTAAAATTAATTAATAATAAAACTTAGTATAAGTACAATAAAACAAATAAGGAGGAATAAAAGAAAAAAAAAAAAGCATGTACACAACTAGCATAGAGCCACACCCACAACCGATACAGAAAAAGTTGCAAGTGAACCCCTAAGCCATCGCAAACATGCATAAGCTTGGCAACCGATAATTGTTAACAACAAATTAATTTTCGACTCTTAATGACATATTTAAGGTTAAGCCAGTTTAAGTACGACATAGGTAAATCGCGCGTATTAAGCAATGTTGCTTTAATGGACTTTAAAGAGTCCGTTAATGAGAATAAATGATAGACACCATTTAGGTTCTTGCAAACAACTCTAAGCGGGTTAAACACTTCAAAATTATATTTGCATTGACTAAGCTTTATCAACATAAAGTGCCTAGAGAAGCGATTAGGGACATTAAAGCCTATCTCACGAAGTAATGCGTGCGAGTCAATTGTACCATTTATTAATTTGATTAAGAAGGAAACCCCAAGAACAAATCTACGTTTCTCAAAAGACGGTAAGGATAACAGAAGCAACCTATTGTCATAGGGTGGAAGAGGGGAAATCGGGTCCCAACCCAAATTTCTAAGGGCAAACAGCAAGAATTGCTTTAGTATAGATTCAATTAAATCTACGTAGCACCTATATGAAGGAGACCACACAACAGAGGCATACTCAAGTATAGGTCTAACCAAACAAATGTAAAGCCGTTTCTTAATATAGGGATCATCAAGCTCTTTGGACCACCTCTTTATAAAACCATGCGCGGACCTACCTTTGCTTAACGAGGACTCAATATGCAAATTGAAACGTAACCTATAATCGAATAGAACGCCTAAATCTATGAACGAATCGATGTCTTCCAACCTTTGCGAATCAATGAAGTATTGTCACGGGGAATTCATCCGAGGTAATAAGGCTAAACAAAACCGTGAATGATCTACCATGCAGATAAGAGCTTAACCATTCCACTAAGAAGAGAGGAAAACCAGAGGTCTGGAGTTTAAATCTAAGTAGTCTATGATTAACCATATCAAACGCTTTGCTAAAGTCAGTGTAAATGACATCAGTGCGAGAACCACTAGAAAAAGCCTTGAAAACATGAGAAGTAAACTCCAACAGATTGGTCACCGTAGATCTTCTCTTTCGAAAACCATGCTGGAAAGGAGAAATATACATATTCATGGAAAAGGCTATATGCTGAGCCACAATTCGCTCGAACAGTTTAGGTAAGACACTCAACTTGGCAATGCCTCTGTAGTTCTCTACAAGATGCCTACTACCACTTTTGTGAATAGGAATAAGGAAAGAAGTCTTCCAACACAAAGGGAAAACACCTAAATTCAAAGACTTATTAAAAATCTTTGAGATAACATCACAAAGCTCGCCAGCACAAGATATAAGTACACATGAGGGGATTCCATCAGGTCCACGCGAACAATTATATTTCAGAGAGCTCAATCCTTCAAAAACGTCATTTTCAGATATAACAAAGTTAGGAATTGAAGTCGAATTAGAAATCGGATATGGATAGTTTACCGATAAATCAAAATTGGCAGTTGAAAAGTTCTGTCGGAAGTATTCCGCAAAGAGATTTGAGGTTTCAAAATCATCCGAGGACTCGGAGCCATTAAAAGACACAAACGACGGATTTATGGAGATTTTTCCTTTGGAATTAACGAAATTAAAAAAGTATTTAGGGTTAGCAAACAAGGAGGATTTAACAAACTGAAGGTATCTGCAGTAGTATTGGCGGTTGAGGGAATTAAATTTATGCCTTGCAACAGAGTAAGCGAAATAGTCGAAAGAAGAACCACTTTTCGAAAATTTTTTGAAAAGCTTGTTTTTCCTATTTTTGTAGTATTTAATTATTTTATTAAACCACGGGGGACCCTTGCTTCGAGGACGGGACTGCTTGATCGGAACGGATGCAGAAATAGCTTGATTTAATATATTGTAGAACGACGACAGTAAGCTATCAATGCTTCCCTCTGAGAAATCGAGCACAACATGAGAAAGATGTGATTTTCGTATGGAAACATTGATTTTATGGAAATCATAAAGTTTATATGAAAAATTTGAATTTTGAACGTTATAGAATTTCAACGAACCAACATACTTGTAATGAAAGGAAACACCCAATGCTGGATGATATGGATCCTCAGGTAAACTAAACGGAAGACAACGATTAACGCAAACCTCAGGAAAATTTGCAAAGCAGAGATCAAGAAATCTACCATTGCAATTGGGGGTACCATTGTATTGAACTAAATTATTATCAAACAATTCATTGAAGAACACAACGGCTTTAACAGATGTTGAGGAAGGAATCAAACAGCCAGAACAATCACTGTAAAACCAATTGACTTGAGGCAAATTGAAGTCACCCAACGCAAGGACTATATCAGTAGGTTTAGATTGTTTGGCCACTTCACAAATGAGGGCGGCCTGTTTCTTATATACAGAGATATCAGAATTTGGGGGAATATAGGAGCAGGTCACATCTAGGTGTTTATTAGGAAATTTCACTCGAATGGCGATAAATTCAACATCGGGAGTAGTTGGAAGTTCAAACGAATAGGTGGGGAGTGCCGAAGAAATGGCAATTAAAACACCACCACCATTGCGATACAAACGATCGTTTCTGAAAACTTGAAACGAATTATGGAAAAGTTCCGACGAATGTAGATCCGGCTTTAACCAAGTTTCAGTGAAGACCAAATAGGAAAACTCCGTGCTCACTGAATTTAGGAAGGTAGAACGAATTTTTGAATTTAGGCCCCTAACATTTTGATAAATGAGAGAAAATGAGGCTGAAGAAATATTTAGTTTTTTGAAGGGGAAAGAGCTACTGCATTCGCATTACGGGGTCGGTCCCGAGGGATAAATTCCTTAATTAAGGATCCAACCGGCCACAATGGTTTATTTAAAATCAAATCCATATTTTCGGTCGGAACTAGAATTTTAAAAGATGAGATAGCTCTAGATTGAGAAGGACCCAGTTTGAAAATACTAACTCGCTTTAAATTGACAGAAGGGGCTTTCGCAGCCAGATAACCCCTTATGTTTTCAACAGATGTATCTGGTGCCAGTCTTGACACAAATATTGCCTTTCTGGGAGGAACTGCCTTCAAGCATATGTCATCAGTACTGGGAGCAGCAGGGTTAACGGATGGGGAGGTATGAGTTGGGGAAAATATAGAGGGGGTAACCACACTTGCACGAGCAGCTTGTGCGACTTGCTCAGTTTGGCGACCAGCATTTACACTCGAACAGCGATGAGGGGAGGACGAATTACTAGTACCCTTATTAGTTTTGGGCGATGACGCCTGAGAAGATTGAGTGACATCTATGGGAGGAGATACCCTTGCCACTTCAGCATAGCTCAAGCTAGAAGGACTTCTCGGCCTATTTGTAACATTTATGTTACCAAACGACTCAGCCGTAGCAGAAACGTTAACATTATTTGTAGCCTTTAGGGAATCGCTAACTTGCACCGACGAAACGGACTTAGGAGGTGACGAACCACACGCTATGCTAAGCGTTGAGACTTTGTTAGCTGGAGAGGAAGATGACTGCGCAATATACCGACATTCATTAAACCTAGTCTTGATTAATTCA